ATCGATCTGTCCGCTGGAATTTAAAGCACTTTCAAGTAGCAACAATTTAGTCAAGCAAGGTGGCCAGACCTCAAGGCAAGAGCTATAGAAAAGGCAGAGGTATTGAAAAACCTTCTTCGGGCTTCTTTCCCACACACTACAGTTTTCCCATTGGAACGCTTCCACATTACCTTGGGTTGTTTAAGAGGAAGGCTGCTGAACAGGGCTGTCTTTGTGAGGAAGGATATCCTGTTCCAGGGAAATTTCAGCCAATCGCCACCGGAGACAGGCGAGCGTAAGGACCGAAACCCTCGGGCACCTCAGCAGCATCGTTTTCTCATGAAGAGAGGGGAAGGGGCCGGTCTGTTGAAGGAAAGGACATTTTGTGCGTGTTTACATACAGGGAAAGAAGTACTGGTGTGTCTATAGGACTCACACTTGCAACCACCTCTCTGCCTGTAAAACACAGCATACAAAATGTTCAGTGAGATGGAAACATTTGGAGGCCTTTACACAAGAAGCATAAAGCGAGCTCCTCAGTATCTGCAGGGCCTTTCATGCTTCTGTTTGCCTCTCCTCACAACCTTTCCTAAAACAGTTATGGAAAGGAAAAAAAAAAATCCACCCCCAGTGCAATATGTTTTCCTGGAAGAATGAAATGCATCTTTCTGCTCCTAATGAAGTTAATGCAGAGTTTATAATTGACCAAAACGGGAACATGACTGATTCAGCCAATGTCACAAAGTGACACAGCCACTGAATATCCTGTTTGTTTTCAGTGTATTTTCTCCACTCACTGCCTGATGCTCCATTAAAATTCTTGAGGCCATACCAAAACAAAATTCTGCCAAATGCTGCCCATTAACAAGCAATTAATATATGAGCTTTAAAGCACAAGGTTGCTCATGCCATCCCACAGAAAATATTCCTTGCCTGCTGTTTCTCAGCGGAGCCATTTTCTGACAGAACGCTCTATCTCTGCCAGAGATTTCAAAGAAGTAGACCATAATTCTCAAGAAGAGTAAAGTCTATGCTTGCTTGCTCTCAACATACTTGGATTGATTAAACTTTAATCTTAAAGGCTGTTTTCTAGCCCACTTAACAACTGATGTAGTAACAGAAATGACACCATTAGTTGTTCGGCATCTGCCAGCGATCGGAACAGAGTAACAAGGCCGCTCCAGTACACACAGCAAAGGGACAGCGTGCAGCATCGGGCCTCAAACAACAACCGCCCCCAGACAAGCGGTTCCCCCTCCGAATAACGCCGTTCCCTTCAGGCCACCGTCACCGTGTGTCTGGGCTGGCCGTGCCCAGCTCCGCAGCCCCGGCTCGGCCGCCGTGCTCCTCTGCGTCCGCAGCGCTCCCGAGAACCGGCGCAGAGATGAAAACGCTCCTTGAAGCCGTTCTGCTCCACATCCGACCCCCTCGAAGGCTGCGAGGGCGCAAGGCGCGGGCACGGCTCTGTATTTTAGTACGCCGGCTCTAATCACTACTTGCATAACGCTGACCAAGGGTGTTTTTCCTTTAACCGGGGTCAGACTCAGAGTCCTCATCTGCTGCAGGGCTCAGCCCAGGCTGGGCTGTCTGGAGCTTGGGCCCACGCCGCGATGCCCCCGTCTTCGCAAAGCAGACACGAACCTGCTCAGCAACACCAAGAACAAAGGCGAAAACCGAAACCCCATCAAAAGGACATAACTGCAGCTCCGCATTCCGCGGAGGACAAGGGATTGTTGCGGTTTGCAAAGGAAAATATAGCTTAAAACTAACTTCACCAAATTATGTGTTTTGCCTGGTAAAAAATAGTTACAGACCAGAGGTAATTACTAGGCCATATCTAGGAGTCCGAGAATGTTGGAGCTCCTCCAGGTACATAACTCAGACCTGCCAAATATCACTCATTTAAACTGAAGTATATACATTTTTGGCTTTAATTAGAAACACCCTCTCCCACAAAAAAAAAAAACAAGCCCTTTTACTTCCTCAATCCTGCAATACCGGAGCTCCCAGCAAACTGTCTCAGTCAAATGACCTTTGTCATGTTGGGGACATGCAGCTGACAAATAGAGACTATTTCTGACAGCTTCGCTCTTTGCAGGGGCCCCTGCACATACACCTCGCCCACTGGCCTGTTTTTAGTAGCAAAAGCTACCGACCACGGAAAGCAAAAACTGCACGGAAAGCACAGAAAGCTTCTCCCTCTGGTCCCCCCTTCCTGCGCCTAGCAGCAACCACGTAACAGGTCTGCTGAGCTACGCGTTACCTTGCTGAGTTACGCGTTACCTAATAAATAATACCGCAGTATTATTTATTAGTGAGCAATTATTAGTTTTTGAGAGTCCCTTCTTCAGTCTATGTAGACTTCTGACCAGTCCCACACTTTTAATTACATGGCATTTATTTCATTAGTTTATTCACTAAAATAGCCAAACTCTTTGTGATAAAATTCATGGATCAGACATTGATTCTTCTGATTAAATTTATTCCATATATTATCTCAAGTCCCCAGCTCTTGTATTACAATGAAATATGTTTTTAAAACATTTCCTTCTTGCTCTGTTGACGCCTGCTTCTTTTCTGACCCTTAAGCTTAGTATAATGGCTGTATCAAGATGGAGTTATGTTTTTAGCCAACAAGACTTGATTTTAAAGTGTTCCTAGCGTGAATTGCTGTTTAATTTTCTATTCATCCTCGGTGTTTGTGAACTCAATCCATTCCCTTTTGTATTTGCACTGCAGTTTTCATGCAAGAGGATCCATCTTTGGAACACAATAAACGAGTTGCAATCCTCTTAGAGTGTAACAATCCCCAGATAGCGAAAAAAAATGAAACCAGATCTTTATGTGCGGATCTAGCTTCTAAAAGATCCCCCTCAGGCACCGTGGAGGCCTGTAAAAAGCTTGAACATAAATACTGTGGTAGTCTGGTTTGCCCCAATACCCCCGTTCTCAGCTTTGCTCGAGCTCCCGTGGCGAGTGTGCTGTAATCAGGAAAATAAAACTGACCGTTCAAGTAGAGGAATCATCTGAACTCATCGGAGGCTCTTCATGGAGCCAGGTGAGATTTCTTGCTGCAATGGCAGAGCTTTTATACTGCTTTGATAGCGCTTCACGATCAGAATTACAACTGCATTTGAGGCGCTCTTTACAGCTTGCTTAGGACACCCTTGCCAACAAGGTCATAATCATCATCCTATATGACATTTTAAATACCTGTCATTCCAAAGGGACTGATAAGGCTAAGACCTTCCCATCTCCATAGCCCTGAGCTGGATTTGGCAGTTGATTCCTAAAATAAAACTGCACAAAAGAAGAAACCCAAGCACTGAACTGTTCGATACGGCTCACTCAGGGGCACACGGCAAATATTTGGCCACATGAGAACTCTAAAAGCATCTTAGGGAAACGAAAGCTTCCTCCCAGGGCATATTCCTGAATACACACACTGTGGGAGAGCAATTTTATCATGGTATCCCCAGTTTATACACGTTACACGTTTGAGATGCTCTCTTTACGATAAACTATAATGAATCCCACACAGACACAAAAAAAGAGATATAACGCAGAACACATAGATGACATGTAAATGCAGAGATTCATGAGCGGGATAATGCAAGCTACAACAGCAACCTCAGGCGTGTTGTTTATATAAAGAAATAACAACTTCAAATCATACGGGTAATGCCAGTTGGCTTCCATCCGCCAGGTCTTTGCCTTTGTTGTTTGCCCCACACAACTGCTACTTTAGCAACAGCCAAGAATGAAAACATAAAATGATACAGAAAGAGCAGAAAAATGAAAAAAAAATAATAGAGAAAACTCTAAAACTTAAATCTTCAAAAGAAGCAAAAGAACAGCCAAACTATGTCCATAACCTATGGCCAAAGCCCCCGTTTGACAGCCTGGTTTTACTTCAAACAGAAGGGGACATCCCTTGGCCCCGTATTAAGATGCAGTTTATGTGCCCACCCCGAGCAGATGTTGCTCCCAGATCCCTGCTCCTTGTGCGCTGTAGATTATGGGCCAGATTTACAACAGTATGGGGGGATTTAAGCATATTACTGCATGTCACCGGGGATGGGCAGAACCGCCAAACAAGCCTGCACCTCTGATTTAGGTTATATTGTAATAGCTGTCGGCGAGTCTCACGAGGTTGTTGTTTATAACTTCTTTTACTTTTGTGTTCTTCCTGAACGCACATAACAGCACTGGCACCAAAAGCCAAAAGATGGCAGTAAAATAAAAATAAATAAATTACATATATATATATATAGACATAACTGACACAAGGAAGACACTTCTAGTGCTCTGAAACCTGATATTACCCAGCAGCACTCCCTGATGCTCTAATTAGCATTTTTCAGCCTTTTAAAATGCTTTGTTTTCCCTGTTTGCCATAAGAGATTGAACGGCCAGCAAAACCCATTAGAACAACCCTCACGGCCTGCCTTCAACAAACAAGGAAATTCCAAATTAAAGCACACCACCGAGCGCTGGAAACCTGACAATATTAAAAGCAGCGGGGGTGAACCGAGGGCAAAGTCAAGGCTTTAAACACAACCTTGCTTCGCTGACATCTGTTTCGCCCTTTTCATCTTTTTGCCCTGGCTAGCAGCATAAAAAGAAAGATAAAATGTTTAGTATGTGGCAGACACCATCGGGCCAGAGCAGTGATGGATCCACATGTCGTGAAGTGCTGCAGGGCGCTGGAATACGAATCCCAACCTCCTTCTGTGAGAGGAAATAATGAAATAGGCACCCAACTTGAGGGAGACCAGCAGCTCAGGCCTGTTCCAAGCTTGATGCTCAACAGAATTTGTGCCCGTGTCTGGGGGATGAAGATGAGGAAAACCACCAGACCTACCCAAAAAACGTGGGTTTAGGATTAAGAGCACCTAACTTTGCAGTCAGCCCCCCACAAGTGAGTAGAGATACGATAAATAACAATAATAAATAAATGAAGGGAATTCGGACAAGGCGGCCGCTGGAGGAACCCGCGCCTCAGAGCGCCCTGTCACGGCGGCGGCAACGCCCGCTCGCAGCGCCTTTTCCCGAGGAAATAACCTCGGCCAGGTAAACCTGTCCCCGTGCCCCCGGCTGCGGTAACAGATGGCTGCGATTAACGAGCGTGATTAACGCAGAGCAGGACAGGCAGGCAACCGTTAATGTCGCCTCGCTGTGCTCCTGTGGCAGCTTAAGTGGACACAAGTGTCTCTGCACCCTCACACACATCTTGTCTGACCCTGTGTTTTTGCAAAATCATCTATTTTAGCCACGGGGTTTGGCAGACCCCAATGTCAGGCCTCAGGAGCTAAGTTTGCCTCAGGGAAAGTGGGGAGCCAGAGGCACTGGTAGTGTCAGGGAGGCGAGGATGCCACTGAGGGGGAAAACCTTCCTGCTGCCCTTGGACCACGGGAGGAAAACAGGGGGTAAGAAGTCTGACCTTAATCATACAAAGCAGACAGATTAGCCAGGCAGCAGCCAAGAGGAGCCAGTCTGTGTCCTCGTATTCAGCGTCACCCCGGCCTGCGCCACGCTGTCATTCTTAGCCAAATTCTCATACCAAAGGCAGATAATCCTAAGAAGGCATTTTAACCCCATGTGTCCTAAAGGGTCAGGTGCAGGGTAAGATCTTGCTCAGTTGGTGGCAGAGCAGATGATACTGTGAAACAGGAGCTTTGAACTGTGTTAATACAAAGCTGCAAGTGTTACCAGCCTATCGATTGCAGCTGCTGGCAGTATCGGTGTCCCCCTGACATCCACAAGGGAAAGATGAAAGGAAAACTCACAGACCCACGTCATCTAAGACCAGAAAGGACTACAAAAACCATCCAGCCCAGACAGTCTCTTCACATTCATAGACTCAGGGGCTGGGGACAGCATCTTTTAAGTAGATAACTAATTTTAAATATTTTCAGGTGATGGTGAGTTCATGGCTTGTTAAGATGTTGCCCTGCTCTGTTGTCCTCAACACCAGGTAATTGGGTGATTTGGGTTATTTTAAAACTTTCCTGCCCAATTTGTTCTGCTTATGTCAGTATTATTGCAAAGCCATTTGCTATTGGCTGCTTTTTCAAGGTGTGTGCAGTGATCAAGTCACCTCCTAACCTTCTTTTCAATTAAGCTTAATAAGTTAAGCTCCTTAACCCTTGCATCATTAACACTTGTTTCCCAGAACCTGGACCATTTTTGTGGCCCTGCTATGAACTCTCCTTAGCATTTCCATGTCCTTCTTTAAGGCAGGCAAAAGAGAAGAAAGATTTCTTGATAGTAGAATTTCAGATGCCCAAGCCTTTATGAGGGCAAAAAAAATTGGTTTCTATCAGTATTGCATTTTCATTTCTGTTCAATCTGCAGTAGGCAGAGAAGAAACTCTTACTCGTTCAAGTAATCCATAATCCTTTGAGGGAGAGAAAATGATCTGTGTTCTCTTCTGTTGTATTTTCTAGCACTTTATGTATAGTTCCACTGATATCGTTATGTAGAGCACTAAGATATATATATCACACATATATATAGGATTACAGGCTTTGCACTTGTAGAAAATAATACTATGAATAAATAAAGAAAAATGTAAAGACAAGATGTTATTTATAGTTACATTCCTATGCAACTGACAGACCTGGCTGCTGTTTCTGTCTTCCTCACTGAACATAGTCATACTCAGTACTATAAACATGGCATTGTCTTAAAAAAACAAAAACAGAAAACTCTCATTAGAGTTTCTATTTATGTTGTTTTATGGTTTCTGATTTTTAAAGGGGTACCTATGACATTCTTAAGATATATTTTCAATTTTTGAGGCTGTTAAACACAGCCTCAGTTTCAGAAACTGTGTTTAAATTCTTACCTAATCCAGAAACTTTTATGTCTTAATACCCAATATGTGAAAGAGTTTTGCTAAATTGAAAGACCTGGTATTCTTAAAACATCACATTTCCTGAGTTCTGTATAGTCATACATAGACTATACAGTCATATATCAGCCTCAAAAATAGAAAATGCTTTCTGAGCTATATACTCCTTTCATTAATACCTGCATACAGACTAACTTCATCAGACTTTCAGTGATGCAGCAAGACTGAATCTGGCCCTTGGGGAATGAGTTGAGCAGGTTGGCTTGTGCTATCTGATCAGGGAAAGTATTCCCAAGTGTTGGCATGTCACAGTTCTAAGAATATTAAGTCACTGAAGACACCTAGGTAAACAGAGCTTCTTAAGGAGAAAAATCACAGCTTCTGGCTTCAGAGTTCTTTTTCTTACTAAATTATGTTTTAGACCTCCTTGTCTTTCTCCTCCCTTTCATTTTTCCTTCTTTTCCTTCCCTTACTCCTTGTGAAATAAAGGCCTCAGAGACCTTTTAGCCAAAGGGCACCATCAGGCCCAAGTACAACCAAGAACAAGTGCAAATGCATTTTTCATTCAGACATGAAATTTGATGAACTGCAGAACTAGCATGATATATTTTCAGCACAGCTACTAAATGGGATACATTTGCAGTTAGCCAGTAGAATTCTTACATTTTGGAAATACTTTGTTTTACAACTACAAAAGAGAAAGAAAGAATGTATCATTGATTGTATGCAAACATTAGTGCAGTGGAAAACACTGAATTTTCTTCTCAACTACTGGGGATGTGAGACGTGATCAGCATTAGGGGAATTCTGTCCATGCTGTCTTCCCAGTGTGATACAAAAAGTAAAGAGCCAGGTCATTTTTCATGAGAACGGGAATTAAGTGAGGCCGTTTCCTGAGATTGCCAACAAAGATCAATTTATGCTGTGTATAGAGGGGTATATTGTTTGTCTGCTGGTAATTAAATTACATACTTTCAGTTTTACATTGGCCTTTTACATGGGTGACATTACAGTCTGTTGCCTGTGAACAGCGAGAGTACGAATGTGCATTACGAGGCTTTTTAGAAAACAGAAATCCTGAGAGCAACCCTTGAATAGATTGTGATATATGAGGTCCTCACAGATTGTTTGTGAGCACTCTGTACAATAAAGCAGCAAGAATTAACAAGAATAATTACATAACTACAAGTCCTGTTCTGTGAAAGACATATAATGATCCAGTTTTGACCCTTTTTAAATCCTATTTGGCCATCTCTGAAAATAAGTAGCTTTATATTCATTAGCAACCTCTGATAATATTTGAGTCTGCACAATATTTTCGAATAGCAGATTGTTGACTTTTTCACCTCTTCAGTTTGCACTAAGGCTTTTTCCTTTCCCCCTTTGATAGATGCAACAAGAGAAGCGGTTCAAGGTGGTTGTCAGCTAAACACTTCATTATTGCTTTCTTGATATCTTTAATCATTTATAGTAGAAGTTTTCTAAATGCCCTATCAGAACACCTGTTTCCTGAGAAAATTTGATTGATTTGGACATGCACGGAGTTCTATGATTCCTTCAAAAAATGTTGTTGGTACTTAAAGACATGACTATACTGTGCTCAGGAGTCTATGAGTTTTTTTCTCATAGTACTTCTGATTTGTCTTCCTAATTCTCCCTGAATATAATTCACATAATCTCCTTTGGTGCCTGAAACACATCTATTTTTACAGACCAGTCAGCATATTTTCTCCATAAATTTGCATACTGCTCCTTTGATCACCCTGGGATGGCTTTCTCCATATTACATCTCTTTTGTTTCAAATTTAGTTAAATATAAATAATTAAGTTTCTGGATATGTTCACAAGGTACCACGGTACAGTGCATAACAAATCTGGGGATAAGACTCTTTCCTCATGACTCTCAGCAATTTGCTGGTAACCTTCAGCAAGTCACTATACCTTTTTTCAGTCTCTTTCTGTTCTTTGTTTCTCTTGCTTAGATTATTTTTCATTCTGTATATCAGCTGGCACAGCAGAGCTCCAACTTCAGGTGGGTTCTTGAGGTGCCAGTGTAAAGTATAGAGTAGCTGCCCACCCCTTTAGCACTGGGCATAACTTTGAAGGGGTAGATAAGGCTACTGTATCACTGTAAAAAGTGAACAGGTATGCAGACAGCCTCTAAGCATATGGAGGTGAACTATTTCTTTAAAATGCAGCTCCAAATAAAGGGCAAAATAGACTGGCATTGTGGTGACTAGATATTTTTAATTAGAAAAAGAATGCTTTTGTATTAGCACTGTTAAAAATCCCCAAATGAAATCAGACATATTAGCCGATCTAGTCATTTTGTGCAGATGAAATCACGATATGAAGCCACAAAGTTGCTAAGCAATTTTTCTGCATGCATCAACCAACCATGATGAAAATGTCTTGTAGGTACCTGCCCTCTGCTTCCCCACCCTTCCCTATGGGCAAGAACAGGGTTTTGTTTTGCATGTATTGAGTCATCCAGTTATTGTACTTACCTTGTAATGCCATTCTCAGACATGTTAAGACAAGATTTAGCCTTCAGTAATAGTTGGCATAAATACACATATTCCTTATATGACAAGGATTAAACCAAACAACAAATCATTGTGTTGGAACAACAATATATCTTGTTAAAACAGTGTTTATATCCATTAAAACAGTCTGTGATGTTGAATACCAAGACTTTTTTTTATCATTCTAAGAAGAAAAAGACTGCAAATGAGTGAAGATGAAAAAGTGGGGTTAACCCATAAAGCTGGAACTCTGTAACCCACGCAGACTTCCCAAAAAGGCAGCTCTGTCCATCCTCAGACAGTCTCTGCAGCCCTTCTAAAATGCTCGTTGGGAGCATTTAGTGGTGAGGCTGGAGACCTCAGTGTTTCTTTGCTTATATAAGCAAGGCAGGTAAAGTAATAAAAAAAGTATCCACAGGTATTTATAATTCGAAACAATATTATAACAGGATTATAATTAGTAACATGCCATATGTTTTGTCCCGTTTTCTAAATGAAGTCTAACTTCCACAGAGAAAATCCATAATAGCATTTTCTACACTGAAATGTAATACATTACTATAAGAGCACAAGCAGAAGCAGCAACTGATTGCTGATACCTTTAGTTATAGGTCAGATCTTGGAGTTATATCTTCAGACAACCTTTACAAGACGCTAGGACTGACTTTATAGAAAGAAGTGAACATCTGCTA